GACTCGATTAATTAGTAGCGTTAATAACAAGGGAGTAGTTAACTTAAGCCACAAATCTCACAATCTCGGACTCGTGCAACTCAAAGGGTCGATAATCTTAGGCATTGTAACAAGCTTTACTCACCTATTAAACACCTATCCAAGAACGAATATCATGATAGTTTTGATAGGATTGCTAGAAGGCTGAATATGTCTGCTGACCATTTGTTAAGTTGTTACATAGGGGGAATGGAGGAAGAAATTCAGTTGTCAGTACGAATGTTTCACCCCACCTCAATTCAGCAAGCTCACTGTCTTGCTAAATTACAGGAAGCTTCACAAAAATCTAGAAAAACCACAAAGAACCCTATCAAACCCTTACCACCCCTTTTAGATACTCCCAAACAATCACCAAACACTAACCAAAACAATTATCAGCACCCAAACAAATCCTACCTTAATAGAAGAACCTTAACAACAGCTGAGATGAATGACAAGAGGTTCAAGGGCCTTTGTTTCTTATGTGATGAGAAGTATGAGGTAGGCCATAATTGCAGGGGTAGGAAACCTAGGCTCTACCATATTAAAATCGAAGAGGGAGAGGAAGAATCGGAGGATGAGTAGGGAGACACAGAAGGACTGACGAAGAGACAGTAAGTGCTCAGATATCATTACAGGACTTGGATGGTCATTCTACCTTTCATACCATGAGAATGAAAGGATTAGTTGGAAAGAAATGTTTACATACCTTGCTGGACATTGACAGTACCCATAACTTTCTGGACACTCCTACAGCTTTGAAACTTAGTTGTAAGGTGGAGAGTGTACCACCTATGTAGGTGAAGGTAGCAGATGGAGGGCAGTTGAAATGTGATAAGATGGTTAGGACTTTTGAATGGAAGATGCAAGGATATCAGTTTAAGGCTGATTTCTTACTCCTACCATTAAGTGGGAGTGATATGGTTTTGGGGGTCCAGTGGTTCACCACCCTGGACCAATATTGTGGGATTTCAGGAACTTGGTGATGGAGTTTAAGGCTAAAGGGCAGAAAGTGAAGCTAAGAGGTGAAACTGCAAGAAAATTCAAGGGCATTTAGTCTTTGCAACTCTCCAAATTGCTGAGCAAAGATGGTGAGTTATCTATGCTACAGATAATACCATGGGAGGAGCAAATTAGAATCTAGAGTGTTGAGGTGATAGGGCCCAATTCACTGCATCCTGCTATGCAAGCCTTACTTGGAAATTATGTTAAAATCTTTTCCTCTCCAAATGGCCTCCCTCCTTCCAGGCCTCAATTTGATCACAAAATTCCCTTAAAGAAGGAACCAATGCAATCAACATCAGACCATATAGATATCCAGCTGGACAAAAGGATGTCATTGAAGAATTGGTGCAGGAAATGTATGAGCAAGGCATTATTAGGGACAATAACAGCTCATATGCTGCCCCTGTAGTGCTAGTGAAGAAGAAGGATGGAGGGTGGAGAATGTGTGTAGATTATAGAGCCTTGAACAAAGCAACAATCAAAGACAAGTTTCCCATCCCTATCATTGAAGAATTGTTGGATGAGTTGAGGGGGAGCTCATATTTTTCTAAGATTGACTTGAAATCAGGTTACCATCAATTTTGAATGCAGCCCAGTGATGTTCATAAGACAACATTTAAGACCCACTTTGGGCATTTCGAATACCTAGTCATGCCATTTGGACTAACCAATGCTCCTTCTACTTTTCAAGCACTCATGAATTCTGTTTTTAAAGCCTATCTCAGGAAGTTTGTTTTAGTTTTCTTTGATGATATATTGGTGTATAGCCTAACTTGGGAAGAGCACTTGCAACACGTGCGAATGGTGCTGGATACTATGCAAAAAAACTCTCTGAAAGGCAACCTAAAAAAATGCTCATTTGGCTTCACTGAAGTAGTCTAATTGGGGCATATTATCTCTGTTGCAGGTGTGAGAACAGAACCTGAAAAAATTAAGGCCATCATAGATTGGCCTATACCTAAAACACTCAAGCAATTGAGGGGTTTTTTGGGGCTTACTGGATACTACAGACGGTTCATCAAAGACTATGGCAAAATCTATAAACCTCTCACCAACCTTCTTAAGAAAGAATCTTTTAAGTGGGATGAAGAGGCTACTGCAGCTTTGAAGAAACTGAAAGAAGTGATGACTTCACCTCCTGTGTTAGCTTTGCTAGATTTCCAAAAGCAATTTACCATTGAAACTGATGCTTCGGGAACTAGATTGGGTGATGTATTGATGCAGGAAGGACACCTAATTGCCTATATTAGCAAAGCTCTATCAGAGAGGAATTTATGCCTTTCTGCTTATGAAAGGGAATTGCTGGAAATTGTATTTGCGGTGAAAAAATGGCACCACTATTTGATGACGATGCCTTTTATCATTAAGACTGACCAACAGAGCTTAAAGTATTTGCTTGAACACAAGGTAGTCACTCCATTTCAATAAAAATGGTTCTCTAAGCTGGCAGGCTTGGATTTCATCATTGAGTACAAGAGTGGCAAGGAGAACAAGGCAGCAGATGCTTTATCAAGAATCCTTGAGCATCAACTCATGCAGCTGATAGCTTCATCTATTCATTCTTCTCTCATGGATGAAATACAACACACATGGAAGACTGATGTAAATATGTAGAAGGTTATAACAGAACTTCAAGAGAATCCAGCTTCACATAAGCATTTTACTTGGAGAGACGGGCAATTAAGGAGGAAGGGGAGATTGGTAGTAGGAGACAACAGGGATCTCAAAGATAAAATCCTAGCATGGATGCATAGTTATGCTATAGGAAGGCATTCTAGCATTGAGGCAACACTCAGGAGAGTAAAAACTCTATTTTACTGGGCAGGTTTGAAGAGAAGCATTACGGAGTATATCAAAGGCTATACTATTTGCCAAAGTAACAAATAACTCTGCCTCCCCAGGCTTGCTGCAACCCTTGCCAATCCCTAAGAGAGTATGGGACGACATCACCATGGATTTCATAGAAGGGCTGCCAAATTCTCTAGGCAAACAAGTTGTCATGGTTGTTATTGATAGGCTGAGCAAGTATGCCCATTTTGTTCCCCTGTCACACCCCTTTACAGCCATTAAGGTGGCTCAAGCTTATGTGGATCACATTTATAAGCTACATGGGTTCCCAAAGACTATTGTTTCTGACAGGGACAAGGTGTTCATCAGTACCTTCTGGACGGAATCGATGGACAAGCTAGGGATACAACATCACTTGTCAACTGCTTATCACCCTCAAACTGATGGCCAATCTGAAGTACTTAATAGATGTCTTGAGACATACCTTCGTTGTATGTGTGGTGATATGCCTCAAGATTGGGCCAGGTGGTTGCCATTAGTAGAATATTGGTATAATACCAATTTTCATACTACTATACAGATGACTCCTTATGAAGTTATGTATGGTCAAGCTCCTCCAATTCACATACCTTACCTCACAGGGGCTAGCACGGTGGACAGTGTTGATAGGAGTTTGCAAAATAGGGAGGCTACACTCTTGCTTCTTAAGGACCACCTCAAATCTGCTCAAAACAGAATGAAGCAAATGGCTGATAGGCACAGAAGTGATAGAAATTTCGAGCTTGGGGATTGGGTTTATCTTAAGCTGCAACCTTATAGGCAGCAATCAGTGGAGCACAGAACCAATTAGAAGCTGGCTAGGAGGTATTTTTGCCCCTATCAAATCATCAAGATAGTAGGCAAGGTTGCATATACCTTACAACTACCTCCTACTTTAAAAATCCACCCTACCTTCCATGTCTCTCAATTAAAGGCATATCATGGAACCATACCACCTCTTATTGACCCTTCCACCTTCACCATTCCCAATACAAGTGAGGCAAAATATCATGTGGCAGTTATCGACAAAAGAGGTGTCAAAAGGAACAACAAGGCAGTAGTGTAGTGGCTAGTTCAATGGTCAAACTCTGCTCCAGAAGATGCAACATGGGAAGATGCTATAAAGATTGAGCAACTATACCCTGCATTTGATCCTTGAGGTCAAGGATCTTGTCGAGATGAGGGCATTGTTATGAGCATTAGCGCAGGAACTCGTGCATTGCAGGTGAGGAGTGAAAGAAAGGAGGCATGTGCAATGCATATGACTAAAGAAAAGGGGAATGAATCAGGAGCTGACAAAGGGACTGACAAACAATGATGAGCTGGACAGAGTAATATTCTAGAAAGGAATAATATCTGTAACAAACTCTTAAATTTCAGCAATTTTATTATCTAGTTGTTATTAGCCGTTTTCTTATAAGAAGCTCCACTAGCTATGTAATAACCATACACTGAATGAAAAAGCCTCCCCTTCCTCTCTATTTCTCTTGCTGTATTCTCTGATTAACATATTCTAGAATTAGTCATTTCCTTGTGATTTCCTTTCCATTTCGGATAATCACTGGAGTGATTGATTCCAATCCTCATCTCTTCAGTAGGTTGGATTGGTGTTAAGGCTTAATTCCTGAGCTGCATGTTGATGAATCGTATCATAACAAAGAAAAATCAAACAACAATCAAAGAAATGGAAAAAAATATTGGCATGAATTAACCTGTAAAATTGAAAGAAAAAGAGAGATGAAGGAGAGAGAACTTGGAGAAAAAAGCTTGAAGAGGAGAGAGAAACTGAAGAATGATCCAGAAAGAGAAAGGTAGAAAGAGGTAGTAAGGAGGAGACAAAAAAAATAAATAAAAAAATTCAAGGATTGGCACGTGTGAGATTAAAATTGGGAAATAAAGTCTTTCCAAAGACGTATGCCACACAGTAAGTTTATGTAAATTCGCCTTTCATAAAAATTTGTCTATACTTTGTATAATTATTTTACAACGTTGAATGAGAAGGTTGAGAATTTGTGCTTAATTTGACAATTCTACTTCATAAAATTCGTAGATAATAAACGAGTGAGTAAGTAAGTCACAACTAAAAAATAATTAATACATCATTATGTAAGCGTTGTAACATGCAATTTTTTTTTTTACACAATATGCAATGTTAAGGGGGTGAAAAAATAGTTTTGTTTAAAAGGTGAATGTCCATTTTAATCTTTAAAAAAATAAAGGAATAAAAAAAATTATGCGTAACACTTAAACTAAGTGATATTGATTTTCAGTTAACTTATAATCGACATCCGACCTTAGCTCAGTTGGCAGAGCGGAAGACTGTAGTAGTTGCAGATAATCTTTAGGTCGCTGGTTCGATTCCGGCAGGTCGGAATTCTTTTTTTCTTTTACTTTTTTTTTTTTTTTTTTTTCCAATTTTTCTCGCTCCTCTTTCTTCTTTCTACTTCCTTTCTTAAACCCCAGATTTCCTGAATCATCTTCTCCAAAACCCCATCAATGGCTTTACACTACCTCTTCACCACCATAACCAAACACTCTCTTAAACCCTACTCTCTCTCCAAAACCCCTATTTTCTCTCTCCTCCAAACCTCCCTATTTTCTACCTCCTTTTTAATCACTAAAACCCCAAAAAAATTCAAGAAAAAACGCCAAAAACCCAGTCCGAGAAATACCCTTGTTCAACACCCTTCTTCCTTAATCACCCACTTCGAAAATCTCGTCAATCGCGATAATTTCTTCCGATTTCTCACCCGATCGAAGCAATTTCTCGCGAAACAACCCGAGCATATTCTCCAATTAGATGACGCCGGAAAACTTTACCGGGAACTGGGTTTTCCCCGGGGAAGAAAGGTTAACAAGTTCGTCGCTAATCACCCACTTATTTTCGAAATTTACCGTCATGAAAATAATAAAATGTGGTTAGGTTTTACTGAGTTTATGGAGAATTTACTGCAGGAGGAGGTTAAGATTATGGAGAGTATGGAATTAGAGAGGGTAAAAGTTGTTAAGAAGATTCTAATGATGTCGAAAGATAAGAAAATGGCGTTAAGTAAGATTTATCATTGTAGGTTGATATTTGGTGTTCCTGAGGATTTTAGGGATTGGGTTTTGAAATTTTCCGATGATTTTCGTGTCGTAATTGGGGATGATGGGAGTAGAATGCTCGAGTTAGTGAGGTGGGATCCGGCATTGGCTGTGAGCGCGTTAGAGAGGGAGTTTATGATTGACGAAGAGAAGGTGAAGAAGGCATTTAAGTTTCCTGTGAAACATGGGAAGGAATTGGATTTGGAGGATGATGATGTGAGGAGGTTGAATTTGTTGAATACGTTGCCTTTGGTTTCACCGTATTCTGATGGGTGGAAGCACGAGCTTTCGAGTTTGGAGGCTGAGAAGTATAGGGTTGGGGTTATTCATGAGTTTTTGAGCTTGACATTGGAGAAGAAGGCTTCTATTCATCATATAGTTGAGTTTAAGGAGGAGTTTAGTCTTACTAAGCATACTTATCAGATGCTTAAGAAGCAGCCTAGGACGTTTTATTTAGCTGGTACTGAGATGAATTGGGTTATTTTCTTGAAGGATGGGTATGATGAGAATGGGAATTTGATTCAGAAAGATCCTCAGGTTGTTTTTAATGAGAGGTTATATAGGTTTGCTCAAATGCAGCATCCTGATGAATTGTGTCGCGACAGTATCAGTGAATGATGGTGACAAAAACAAGCTTGATTGCGACAGTATCAGTGAATGATGGTGACGAAAACAAGCTTGATCAAGCAAGAAAGATGGGGTAATTTGATGCTTTTATATGATTCTGGTTGTCAATATCCTTGTGTCATGCATTTGTATGCTTCATTAGTCATTACTACTGTCTTAGAAAGGTCTGATGAAAATTTAGTTACAAACAAATGATCTTTGGCCTGTAGTTTTCTAACATAAAAATAGATTTGATGAGGTTAGTCTGAGTGTTGGTATCTCTATATTGTTTCAAACTCAATCCTCATAGATGAGCTCTTCAAATATTGGAAGAAATTAGTGCTCATATCTTGAGGAATTAAAGGCTACTGTAAAAATTTGTTTTCGTAGTTCAATTATACTGTAAGAAGCTTTACTCCTTGCAAGGAAACACGAATGCACAATGGTCTAGTTTGATACTTTTATGGAAGTTATGACATTTTTATTGGTTGGCCCTTTTTTGATGTCAAAAACATGGTTGTTTTTCTAGCAAATGTTTGATGGAAATTTGTCTGGCTTTTGATGAGTAATCTGTGTTAGTCATCTTAATCTATGCAGGGGAACTTTTAATGGATCTCTCAGAGTCCTTGACCTTCCTATAGGACAGGAGATTATCATGTGTGACTATTGTTGGGCAGAAATTTGAGCTGCCGTGTGCTAGTCATATCACTTTTCGAAGTGACTCACTGAGTAAAGCAGCTTGTACTTGAAGCCTAAGATGTGTTCCACAAATCCTTTATGAAGCTCAAGGTGCAGAAATTAGAAATGCCTGGCAATGCATTTTTGATGAGTCGCACTAAGGCGTAAGTTCACCAGAATCATACTGCGTGCAAGTCTACAACCTCGTTTTATGAACTATATATTTGATTTTTAAGAATTGGCCTTACTTAAATTAGGTGCTTAACCCATGTGCTTTCTGCTTAGGCTCTAGGACCCTGTCGCCCATAAAACACTGGTTGATAAGTTGAGTGATGCAGGACCAATACAGTTAAACTTTTTGGCTTACCATTAAGGAGAGCTGTTGGAAGTTACAAATTAGCTAGAGTTGCTAAGGTGGCACGGGCATTCGGGATATCCTTTGGTCTTGTGCATAAGATGTAATGAGTAGTTATTTGTGCCTTTAAACAATTTGAATGTGTTCATTCCACCACATTATTTCTGCGTTTGTCCTTGATCTTTTTTTAAAGGGCAGGAAAAGTTTGTTATCAGTCATCAGCCACACCAGATGCTGGTTTGGCTAGTTGAATTCGAACCCTGTCACAATTGATTTGATTGTTGGCCAAACATCCTTGATAAGGTTAACCGCCCCATGGTGCCATTGAAGAACATGGTTTATCTTAGGTTCGAAGTCTCTCACAAAATATTTGGTTGTGGTTACCTCATCATCATGACTAGCTGCGCCATGGTGCCATTGTAGAACATGATTAGGCTTAGGCACAAAGTCCTTAACAAAATATTTAGTTGTGATTGGCTCGTCATCATGACTAGCCGCCCCATGGTGCCATTGAAGAAAATGGTTAGGCTTAGGCACAAAGTCTTTAACAAAATATTTGGTTGTGGTTGTTCATCATCATGACTAGCTGCCCCGATAAATTATTATGTGCAGGTTTTCATATTTCACATAGAAGCTTGCTTTACATGCTGCCAATTAAATAAGTCAGCGGTTAAATAGTTTTCCATGCAATGAGGTTTTCGTAGATTGAAACATCTCCCACTCCATTAGACTTGTTATACAGTGCAGTCATCCAGAAAAATGACAGGATCTATTATTAATTTATTCTGAAGAAATGAAGACAAACAATGATACAAAACCAACAAGGAATATACTTGAACTCAAGTATATACATTTTATTGCCTGCTTCCTTGCTGAAGAGTTGCAATGACGCATTGAGATTGGTCCGTAAGATCATCTTCAATTAACTGATTACAGTCCTCGTCTTCAACCTCGACAGCTGGTTCGCTTGCCTTTTCGACTTGTTCCTGCTTCTCTGCCCAACACTCGTACTGCTTTTGCCAGTGCTAGATGACATTAATCCACTCTGACTACTCTTTTTCACGGACTTCCTGCGAGCATTCCAACCATTGTTTCGAGATGAAGATTTGGTAATAATATCCATTGATACCTCTCGAGCCTTCTGTGGATTAATGGGTTGCTTGTTTAGGTATGCCAGCTTAGGGAGAAGTCCGCAAACAGCTCTCCTAAGCTGGTCACTGCTTAGGTTGCTGTGAATCGGGTTCCCCAAAATACTGAGTGCCACTAAAGAATTGTAGTTGGCAACAAGCTGTCCTAGAGCCTTGGTTGTGGTTATTTTATTGAAGCTAAGGTCCAGAACTGTAAGCTTCAATAGCCTGTGCAGCCCCTCGACTTCACTGATTTTATTGCCTGCTAAATACAATTCCTTGAGCAATATGCAACTTGAGAGTCCTGGGTTAATATAATAAAGAATGTGAATATACTTTTCAAATTATGTGCAGGTAATTACCAATCCAAAATTTGAAGCAAAAGATCAATATTACCATGACCAATACGAGAGATCCTATTGTAACTCAGATCGAGTACCCTCAGTCGAGTTAACTCTCTTAGTCCTTCAATGGTAGTGATCCTGTTCCTGGATAAATCGAGGACATGAAGGCCCTTTGGAAGTGATCCTTGAGTAATTTGAGCTGCAAGATAAACCGGAATAATGAAAAAAGAAATGTTGTCAGAGGCTCAGGGCGTTTTTATCATTTATGCCTGAATTATACTGCAGAAAATAAAAAATGCTTCTTATCTCAAACAAGATTTTGATTCAAGTTCATACCAATTGAGTTGTTCGATAGATTGATTGAACGAAGACTTGAGAAGTGTGATATGACGGGGATAACTTTCAACCCCATCCCTGATACATGAGCCACAGTTGAAGAAGAATTCAGAGACTGAATTACACTGTTGGCATGCTGGAGTTCCTCTGATAAGTTGATTTTGGTATGTCGGGAGGAATGAGTTGGATATTTTGCCATTGACTCATCGGCCTTAGGAGAAGATGGGAAGACAATTTGCTCATCACCATTTTCTTCGTCAATGACCGGGGTTGTTGGCTGAAACTCTAGGTCTTTCACCCAGTCATCTACCCTCTTCAACGAAGATGATGACTCCCCTGAGAAAGCAATCCACTGATTCTGAGGCCATAGCCCTGAAAATCCACCCTTCAATCCATTTTCTTCTTCGTGGCTACTCTTGTAACTGCATAATTCAGAAAATGAGCCTGCCGATTCCACCTTGCAGAGCTGCTTTGCTCGATATGATTCGAGTGTGTCTGATGAGTATCCACCTTGTTGATTGACAGTAGCAAGAAGGGACGACATTCTTGTTTTAGAAGCAATTGCTGGTTTCTGCAAATTCCTGTGGCTCCAAAGGAAGAGCTTCCACCACATTCTCTTGCTCCTTGAAGGAAGGATCTGGCTCGAAGAGTGCTTCTTCAGCATCACCTTATCAGCACTGCGGTGAGTAACTGCTGATGACTGGCTGCAAGGAGATCTCATCAAAAGATCGCCCCTTACTCTATTTGCAAGTTCCTGTAACTGCTCAAATGACTGTGTTTTGGAGGGTGGCAATTGATCAGCTATCCTCTTGAGCACTTCCCTCGAGTCAAGGTTCGAGCAAGAACGTGTAAGCTTCGGTGAAACCCACCGCTCTTCCCTTGCCATCCCAGGATCACTGGCATGCCCACCTTGGCCTATCTCAATCTCCTCATCATTAGTACCCTGCTCAGCACAAGGACTTCCAATCTGAAAACTCGGGTTACAAGAATCAATGTCGCGGCCTTGAAGGTTTGAATCAGAGTTCTCCCTACTCATTGGTGACTTATCATCATGTTCATGCTCATCTTCACCTTCATATGCCACCTCTACAGCCTCCTCCTCCTGATCCTTCTCAACAGGACTCTCAGGGTTCATCACCTTCACCTCACATCTCGAAATCTCAGTGACATCGAATGGCACCGGAACACTAAACGAAGTCGATTTCAGCTCATCCTCATGCTCAGAAGGTTTCACTGGGTGCTCCACCTTCACTTGTAAGGTTCTGTTCTCATTATCTTTCTTAAATTCTGATGAAGAAACAATTGCATCCTACACAAAATATATCATTTCATCATCAACATTCAAATTCACAAACCCAAAAAAAAAAAAAAAAAAAAACCATTTCAATTGCAAAATCAAAATTAGAACAATTTCAATTACCTTCACCTTCTTCTTTCTTCCAACCAACTTGGAAAAACAATTGAATAATGCCATTCTTTTTGGGTATCTAAATTCAGAAAAAGATTTCCAAAAAAAAAAAAAAAATTGGGATAGAACTTCCAAAAAAAAAAGTTTGTTGGATTGTACGGAGAATTTGACTTTGTTGTACCTCAATCAGTTAACCAAAAATTAAAGATTTACATCTCAACCGCTTTAAAAATTAAAGAACAAAAAAGATTAGTTAGGTTGGATATTAGCCATAATCAATGGGTAAGCGCCAAACCAATGATTTGCAAACAAATGAAAAGCAAATTTCATCAAAGATTTGCGCGCAGCACACCCTCCACTGAGGAGAGATCACTAATATCTTGGCCAGAGTGTTTTTATGCGCACCAGTCTATCTTCTTTAAGTTCCTCACTGTTTCAATAAACAAATCAAATAACACAATTTAGATATCATTATCAATATAAATTCAACATATGTTACTCTACCAAATTCCCGTGTCGGATACTCAAACACTCGTACTTAACGTACCCGTGTTCGGTATTCTTCACTTCTAGCCAAGTCCGAGTAACATAGATTATACAAGTATTTCGGATAAAGAAGACTTGCTAGAACAACAATATATGAATGTGAAAAGCACTTTAAAAAGCACCCGACAAGAAAATAAAGAAGGGATACAAAATTATCCACTTTTTTGACAAATAAACATAACACTACACAGTTCATATCTCCCACCAATCCACCATGAATACAGTTTTCCATCAAGATAGCTTAATTGTCGGAGAAAAAGACATCAACCAAATAAATCACTAAACAAAGTTTTTAAAAAGTGTTTATAATTAAATTGAAACATATATATTAAAGGTGAACTGGGTTTTAATTTATTTATATTTTTATGATACCTGTGAAAGTGAAGAACTCGAAGAAAGAGCGGCGATGAAAGAGAGGAGAGAAAAACTGAAAAAGAGAGAAGATTTTCGTTATGACTCAGGAAGGTATAGTAGTAGTAATAGTACTACGGAACGTCCAAGTGTAAATATAGTAGGAGAGAGAAAGTGGGCCCCAGAAGGTGGGTATTTTGGGCCTGGTCGGGCTGGAAAGATGTTGGTTGTGTTGTGTAGAAGTTCTAGAAATTATTAGAGAATGTAAGTAAAACACGACTCTTACGCGCTCCATTTATTTTATTTTAATATTTTTATGCTATGCCATGGCCCATGATTCGTGTAGTGTGGTCTATTATTACTCACTCTTACGAGTATTGCCTATCTTATAATTTTATACATAATTGATATTAAATATTCAACGAATATTTATTCTAAAATAAATATATAATTATTCAAGGGATATTATTTTTTGTGAAAAAAATGTGTTGAAGGAAGAACAGATGTGAGATGAGTATACATGGCAAATTGACAATTATTAGGTTGAAATTAGTTTATTGACATTTGTTCATTGTTATTTGACAAAAGGATGAATAAGTACACATAAATTTTGGGTCCACTTTTTCTAATAACTACTCTTATACAATTCAGGTGAAATCAATGGCTATTTTGTTTATTATAATTATTATCCAATTAGTCATTGTGTAAATAAAATTTGATTAAATATAGGAAAAATTTACAATAATAATCCCATCTTTATGTTATCTTCTCAAAATGGTTCCAACTTTAAAAATTCTGAAAATAATCCTAACTTTTATGAGATCTTATTATGGTCTTTAAATTATTGGTAACCTGTGTAACAAGTGAACATCAAATGTGTTTCCTTCTGATTGGTTTAGCCTTTTATTTTTGTTTTTTATTTTTTTATTTTTTAGTTTTAAAAAAATTACCATCCCGCTTGTACACTCTTCTCCACGGGCCTTTCTCTCTTCCTCCAAAGCCCTGCTACCTTTTCTCTCTTCTCCTCCTCCCCTTACAAAACCCTGCCACCTTACCTTAAGAAAATGGCAATAAAGATCAAAGTGAAGAAAGAAGCATGCATAATTAGCTTCTACAAGATTGTTCTTAGCTAGTTAGCTGGGATTATTTTCGTCTTCCTCAACATTCTCAAACAACTTCCCCCATTTCTCCACTTTTTTTTATTTTTTTATTTATTTTTAATTCTTACTTTATTTTTATTCTATTATCTCTGTAATTTCTTAGGCACAATGTTGAAAATATATTTTCAAGCTATTTGGGTTTTGTGAAAATTAAAATTCTAAGGGATTAAAATTTGAGTTGATATTAGGATCAATTGTTAAAATTTCGACCATTGAAACCTAAATTCTCAGCTTGTTGTTTTATTCACCCCAATATCGAATTGAAACCGAGAAAATTGGAGTGATAAGAATTGGAGTGAGAAAATTGGGTTGCTGAATACCCAGATGAAGAAACCGAGAGAAAGAGATGAGTGGCAGAGAAGATGAGGGTAAAAAGTGAGTCATGGCAGCCGATCAATCAGTGTTGTTCGAATGATATGATCTGGTGGGTCAAGATTTGGTTTAAAAGGCTTGTTGCTTCTATCACTGAAGGTTGCTTTAGATATTAGACCCATTGGAGGTCGTGGTAGGAGGATGGTGCCCATGGTTGAGGACGGATGAATTAATTAAAAAAAATTACGTGCTGTTTAAGTTGTAGGTGAATTGGACCATTTTAAGAAGACACTAGTAAAAGTCGGGATTATTTTCAGAATTTTTAAAGTTAAGACCATTTTAAAAAGCTAGCATAAAGGTGGGATTATTGTTGTAAATTTTTCCTTAAATATATCATTTTTAATACGATAACTAAGTAAGTTAGTTGATATCTATATATCACACGATTAGTGATAGAGGTTTAATAATCATGTACAAAAGTATTTGCCCTCTAAACCTCTTTTTTTTCTATATTTCGTAAGAAAAGCTTTTGCGTGAGATCGGACTCACCATAAGTCCAATATATCTGACAATAATATTATAATTTATGACAATAATATTCTAATATATGACATTAATATTCTAATCTTTTTTTTTTTACAATAGCAAATTTAATAATATTCTAAGATATGACATTAATAATCTAATATCTTATATTAATGTCATATATTAGAATATTAATGTCAAATATTAGATTATTAATGTCAGATATTAGAATATTAATGTCATATATTTGAATATTATTATTGGAATTATATGTCAAAAAATTTGTTAGATATTAGATTATTATTGTCGGATATATTGGACTAATTGTGAGTTCGACTCACTCAATTTTTTTCGATTCTATAATACTAATTAGCTAATGTTTATTTTTCCTTGTTGTCTTTTATCCATGAGAGCTATATCTTATATTCTCTACTCCATTGATTGTTCTCTCTCGTTGGAGAAATATTCTTTAATTTTCCAAGTTGAATTCTTGAGTGATTCTTTAGCTGCTTTAGGGTTGTTACAAATATCATTCATTGAGTAAATTAAGAAACCAAACAAATTTCCATCTCAAAAAACACACAAAAAAACAGCAGCAACAACAACAACCTATGTGAGATTGATAGTCATAAATATATATATATATATATATATATATATATATATATATATATATATATATATATATATATATATATATATATATATATATATATATATAGGGTATACACATTGTTGTTAGCCATAGATGGAAGAATTATGGCTTTTAATAAAAATAAACAAAGTAGTGTATGTTGTGACTAGGATATCATTTTGTAAAGGTATCATTGTCACAACAAATTAAGGGAAAACTATTTCACATTAATTAATTAACTATCAAGACTTAGAGACAATGAAAACTCTTAAATACACCGCAATGCAAAGTGCATGAAAGGGTAATTATTTTTGATGGATAAATAAGCAATATTCATTAAAGCTTATATACACCTCAAAATAATAATGAATATCAATAATCGCCCTTATGTTTCCATTTCTTACTTTAAAAATAATTCATGTGTTATACTCTCACCCCGATTCTCCTCATCTTATTCCTTTATCATTCTTAATCTTTTGACATTTTTGTAACTCACACATTCATTTGATTCTATTTTCACTTTCACTTAACGTGTTATCAAACTCCAAACTCATCACATTCTCGTGTTATCAAAATTGTTATTTTTCATCCTTTTCCTCTTATATACATGAATAAATTACACCAACTTTCAAATGAAGATTAAATAATCTAAATAATGTTGAATTGAGCTACCCCCTCTTTTTTCTCCTTTCTCTCTTCCTCCCTTAAAGGCTTAAACCCCTTTTTACGGAATTGAATTGGTTGATGAAAGCCCCTAATATCTTGTTTATTTACTAGCTTTCCATTTTAAGCTCATAATAAACCTTCATTCTAATTACATCAATTTTTTATATCTACCCTCATATTGGATTTCACAAAAATTAATTAGTTTGACGAGGATTTGTGCGGTGTCCTGATAAAGATCAATTCTACATATACAATCAATTGCATTAATTCTTATTCGATTTCAAAATTACAACAGACTGAAGATGCTCATTGTGAAATATTGTATCAAATAACGATGTAGATAGGGTATTCACCAATGTCGAAACTTATCCACAATAATTGTGGTTTTGCCCAATTAGAATAGTTAGATCCAATTATTTTGTTTTTTTTTTTTTTGGTGCAAAATTATTTTGTATTTGATAGTTTTGTTTTCTATTGTAGATGTCATAAGACATTAATACTTTTCTACTAATTAATTAATTAATAAATTTTACTTTAAAAATAACTTTGAGTTAACAAGTTAGTTTCTTTACAAATCCAATTATAATAAGTTGAGCTCATAATATATTATTGTAGAGTGAGGGATAGCTCAAGTGGTTATAACTCCCCTCTTAATTCCAAGAGATCTTGGAATCGATTCTCATCACTTGCCCTTGTGGCTCCCCAAACACCAGAAAAAAATATTACTTCGTATATTATTGTGAGCCTTGTGCAAGAATGTGATCATCTTTTGTATGCGATACTCTCCTACAAAACAGAATGGTTAAAGAGGCATGAATGATCAAGTAATTGAGATGTTTCTTGCAAACTTCAAATACACAATTTCACCGGTGTGCCAAACTTTCCGTCGAAATCGTGCATGAGAAATTGATACTTGTATAGCACGAAATTTTCTCTCTCACAATTAGAATTTAGTTTTCCGTTTCAAACATGATCTTAATTCTTAATAAAGCACCACATCTTAGTTACATATGGACTATTTTTAATCTCCTCAATTTTCTCCTAATGGGACAATCTTAAAGGGCGGAGTCCGTGGAAGGAATACTCCTCACTTTTTTTATTTATTGATGTATCCCTAGTTTATACTTTGAGTTGCTATAATTTAGGCCATCTATTGCATTGTTTATAATTTCAAGTAAAATAAGTTATGATAAGGGTTAATTTATTCAAATTTAACTTAAAACTTAAAACGGTTCTAATAAGGTCTAAGATAATTTTATAAGTAAGCCCTTAATGCACCCATTTTCTTTTTTAGGTACTTTTAATTGATAAACCCGAATTTACTTTATATTTATTGTTCATGTCTAATGGGCTTTACTAATACTTGTGTATCATAATAATAAGAGCATATAATACATCCTCTCCCAAACTCTAATCTCCATTGTTGATTTTTGAAGTGGTTTATACCAATGGAAAGCACCAATATTGATTTATTTTGGCTTTTTGTTTGTTTTTTAGGTTTATAATAACACTTCCTCATTTTGCGAGGAACTTTTCTTCCTCGAAAGAAATTATTTTCGATCTCCTTCGAAAGACATGAAAGATAGGATTTTTCGACCTCTTTCAACGATTGATGTTCATCTCATTTATTTTCTACTTTATTTCTTAAATTTACGTTTTATATATTGTTGTCTATGCTCCACGCA